CAGCATCCATCCAGCAGCATCCATCCAACCACTGCTGCAAGTCAACGCCAGTGATGGGCCCACACAACCTGCAAACACAGCTTGAGCTGCTGGGTGGCTCCATGGAGACATTTCACACCCTCCTGTGTCACCCTGGCAGCTCTCACAGCCAGGATGGGGACACAGATGGCAACGACACAGAGGTGATGAGACAAAACCACCTCCTGGGCAGAGAGGTGCTGACACCGTGTCAGCATGTTCCTCTCATGGTCACTTCACCTCTGGTCTCCCACCTTGGAGAAATGCAGGCTTGTGACCACTGGTGGCTGCGTCACCATGTAAGTGGTGGCCTTGGGAGAGACAGATGTCAACTAACACCATCCAAAGCTGGCAGCTGGATGGAAGGTTGGACAGCCCGTTTCCATAAATGCTTGGAAGGGAGGAGTCTGGCTCTATCAGCATCTCCTCTGGGATGTGTGGGGGCTTGTCCTGATCCCAAAATCCCAGACTTGTTGCTTGTCAGATGCCAACTGGCAAGTAAAGACGTAAACATTGGTCCAAAATCCAAGGGAAGTCTTTGAGGTGGGACAGAAGAATGTGTCCTTCTACAGCAAAGACATTGGTGCTGGAGCCCCTTTCCTGCACCAAAATAGCCCAGCAGCCTCCCTCAGCGTGGTGTTTCCAGCCCAACGCTGATGTCCTACCATGGAGACACTTTCCAGTGCTCCAAAGGAGGACCCAAGGTGCCCTGTGCCCTTCCCAGCACCTCTGGTTGGGTGGTTTGCAAGATGTTTGAGCTGTGGGAGAAAACTGAGAAATGCCATCAGGCTCCTGGAGGAAGAAGGAACAAAGGGACCTGGTGGGACAGGACAGGACAGCCCAGTGGCTGCAGCAAGGTGGTTTCCACCATCCTGCCCTTGTGTGACCTTGAGAAACTGATCTAAAAGGAGCTGAGACCATCCTACCAAGAGCCAGAGAAGGGTTTTCTCACCATGTGGTGTCCTTTCTGCTTGGCATCACCTCTATGAGCAGCTGGCACCTTTCCTACAGCTCATCCCACTAACAGTGACCTGGAGTTATGGCAGCTCAGCACCCCAGGCTCAGCAGGGACAGGAGCTGGGCACGACCAATCCTCTTTGAGGATCTCTGCTCCCAAAACACTTCAGGTGTCCACTGCAGCGAAAGGAGATGGCACCAAACCATGAGGTTGTGCAGGGAAGCTGTGGCTGCCCCATCCCTGGTAGTGTCCAAGGCCAGGTTGGACACAGGGGCTTGGAGCAACCTGCTCTAGTGGAAGGTGTCCCTGCCTGTGGCAGGGGTTGGAGCTGGAGGAGCTTTAAGGTCCCTTCAACCCAAACCGGGCTGGGATTCTATGAGAAAAGGGGCCTCAGTGTCTCCCTCACTGACTCCATCCTCAGCCCAAGAAACTGACTGCAACATCTGGAGCATCCCATCACGAGGCAGCATCTCTCCCTGGAGGACCCTGTTCCATGTCTCCCTGTTAGCTCTACACAGCCCTTGGGGACGATTTGTCTGCCTCCACCTCCAACCCTCACTTCTCACACTTCCTCTTGGGATGCAAACAGCACTCCAGCAATAATTGACACTTTGCCTCTTTCTTTGCATTTCCTTCCAAACCACCAAAGACATTTTTGCTCCACGCCAAACCCAGTTTCCTGCCCATCCCATTTCACTGGGATGTTGGTGAGGCTGGATGGCTGCTCTGCTCCCTCCAGGCTCCTTTCTCCTGGCCTTGGCAGGACTTGCAGGAGGCCTTGGGGCGATGCCCATCTCTGTAGGGAAGAGATGGTGCAAAAACCACCACCGAGGACAAGGCAGCAATTATGGTCAGACTCAAAACCCCACAGACAAAGGAAACAAACTCAAATGGGGTGATGACGGTGGTGACTTATCAGGGGTGGTTTAGTCACAGCTGTTAATAAAAATAATAGCAGTAATAAAATTGCAGCGATGCTATTGTTCCGATGCTGATGAGAATAATGAGATTATTTATTAATTGTGAGCCATTAGCAGCATTGTCTCATGCTTCTGCCTCTCTGCCTCGCAGGCCCATCCCAAACTTCAGCCCTATCGTATTCATGCAGAATGAGGTAAAGGAGAAAGGCTTTTTCTTGATGGCATCACCAAGGGAGAAACATGGAAACAGCCAAGACTCCTCTGCTCATCGCCCCCCACCCAACGCCCTGTGCTGTGAGGTTGAGCACTGGATGGGATCAAGCGCTAGATGGGATCTTGTATTTCCTTCCTTTAAGCTGGATTTGCAGCCGTCAGAGCAGCTGAACCCCTTGAGAGCTGTGTGGTCAGACCCTGTGGGGTGGATGAAGGAGGAATTCAGAGTCAGTTTATGGCCCCTTGTCTCCATGTTGGGCTGATGGGGGACAGTGGTACCCGTGAGCCCCTGAGGACCACGTTTCACTGCAGGATGCTGCAGCTGCCTCTGCCTTTGGCTTGTTGCTTGAAGAAGCAAAAGGAGCAAAAGGATCAAAAGCCCCAGCTCCAAATGTTGCTGTTTCCTATGGACTTTGGGGGTTCAGCTATGGCTCCTGGGGGGATGCACAGACAGGCTTTGGTCTCAGCTGCTGGCTGCTTCTGCGGTGCCACATTTAAAACCTCATGGTGCAAAGTTAAGCAAAGGAGTGAGAAGAGGCAGGTCCTGATGTTAGAACTGTTGTGATATGCAGGGAGCAGGGATGGACATGCAGGGAGCAGGGATGGATACGGCCCATGGCAGAGAGATGGATGTGCGGCGAGGAGGAGGAATGGATGCGCAGTGAGGTGGGAGCATCCATGTGAGGCAACGAGGGAGGGCTGTGCAGTGAGGAGGCTGGAGGGTTGCTCACTGAAGTGGAGGGGAGGACAAGCAGCCAGCAGCGTGTGGGGCAGTTGCTCTGGGGGGTGTGTGTGTGTTGGACACCCTGGACCACACGAGCTTGCGTGCATCCAGGGACATGAGGTCTGCACAGCCTCTGCAGCTGTGCTGGCAGTGGTGATAACCAACTGCAGAAACCACCGGGGTTTTTTGACCAGCCGGGCCGGGCCCCCTGCAGCCGTTCCCCATCCCTTCTGCTTTGGCTGCAAGAGCGAACGCTGCGTCCTCTGATCCAACCCTGGTTCATGACTAACATGGTCCCAGTGCTCGCTCTGTCCCTTGTGCTCCCCCAGCGCAGGCATGAGGGCAGGGGGAGAAGGGGTGAGTGCTCTGGGAGCAGCTCCATGCCTGGGTGCTGGCTGCAAGCGCTGGGATGGTGTCTGGGGACCGTGGTGCTCAGCAGCCCTGTCTCTCTGGTGCTGGGTGTCACACAGCTCTGCAGGGCAGGGAGCACCCGGGGTGCTGGCAGCATGTTCACCAAAATCAATAGAAGACCCTGGAAACCCTCAGGAGTGCTGCAGGGAAGGAGCGAGGGCAGGCGGTTGGTGCTGTTACTTCGACCTGCTCGAGGGTGGGAATGGGGTGTCACAGCTGCGAGGGAGCAGCAGCTCTCCCCAAGGACCTGTTAAGGGTGATGTGGGGCCAGCACACAGCTCCGCAGGAGCCTCTGGTACCCCTCTGCCACCCCCCACTCCCAGGGGCCCCCCACCTTTCCCTTCCCCTGGCTCTCTGGTGCTCTCCCACCACCCCTCGTCCTGCCTGTGCCCCTGCTCTCCCTGCCCTGCGCCTTTCTCAGGGTCTCCTGCCCTCTCTCCTCCCTGCAAGGAATAAATCACCCTCCGGCTCTAACCTTGGCTCGCAGAGGAAACAGCAGCCTGCATTGCCACCTCCTTCCCGTGGGACTGGGCTGCCTCCGGGACGCTGGGAATCTTTTCCCAGACCAGAGGGGTTTCTTTGGGAAAGCTCTCAGAGACTGGTGGCTCTGGACCTTCTGGATTCCATTGTCCTCCCCTCCATAATCCCACCCTGACACCTTGCCCATCAGATGGGTCTTGAGAAGGGACCTTCAAGGGGGAGTGAGGCTGGAGCTGGGCCCTTGGCTGTGTCAAAAAGCCCCCAAATTCTCCATTTTCCCACCATGCAGACATGCAGCACGGTGCTCTGAGCACTGGGACGGAGATCCAGGCTTGCCAGCCACCTCCACATGGTCCCCATGGCCAGGTTAACACTGGCACCACTGCAGAAATCCCAGCAAACAGTCAGGAAATGCCTTCTGTTGAACCCCCTCCGGTGGAAAGCGATAGCACTTGGGCTGCAAATCTTCTTGGCCTCTGAGGAGAGGCTTTACTTTGAGGACGAGGGGGAAAAATCAGCCTAGCAGCCTCCACTTCCCGCATGGAGAGCTCTGGAGAGATGAGCCCAACCCCATCGTGCTCCCCAGTGACATCAGGGAGGGAGCAGAGCCCAACCAGAGCATCGCTTCCTCCTTCTCCTCCATCCCTTGGCACCGGCCCATTAGGAAAGAGGGTTTGGTCGATCGGGCCAGCACTTTAGGAAATGAGACAGGCTGTGCCCAGAACCTTCCCCAGGGCTCCATTAGTACCAGCACATCCTTCCTGCAGCCCCGTGGGTCCCAGAGGATGCTTTTGCTGGTGATTTCCTGCCCCAGTGCAGGGGGAATTGTGTGGGACAGGGTGCTGGTAGGGCTGGTGCATGGGGGGAGGAAAGGGTGAACTGCTGCTGTGCAGTGCTCAGTGTAAGGTGGGCTGTTGGAGCACCGTGAACCCCCCTTAGATATGAGGGTTGAACATGCAGGCTCCACGTTGCTAATGCATTTCCTGGCTTGGCATCAACCCCCAGAGCTCTGGGATCATGGCTGAAGTCTCTGCCCATCCCTGGGGCTGGGGGTGGTGGTGGGAGACAGGGTGAGGTTCCCCAGGGCACATGCAGAGAAACCAGTCCCTTAACACGTCTGTCAGGACAAGCTGCTACCGACTGCCAAGGACAGGAGTGAGGAGCACCATGGCATGTCAGCATGGGCACTGCCACCTCCTGTGGAGCAGTCTGAGCCCCCAGGCAGAGCATCTGGCTTGTGTTTGATTCCTTCTCGTGGTCGTTGTCTCCTCCGCAGGTACAAAAGCATGGTGACACCCCGGCGGGCGGCCGTGGCCATTGCTTGCTGTTGGATCGTCTCCTTTCTGGTGGGACTCACCCCTATGTTTGGCTGGAACAACCTGAACAAGATGCGGAGGACTCAGGAGCTGAACGCCACCCAGACACAGTTTGTCATCGAGTGCCAGTTTGAGACGGTCATCAGCATGGAGTACATGGTGTACTTCAACTTCTTCGTCTGGGTCCTGCCTCCCCTGGTGCTGATGCTGCTCATCTACCTAGAAGTCTTCAACCTCATCCGCAAGCAACTCAACAAGAAGGTCTCCTCCAGCTCCAATGACCCCCAGAAGTATTATGGGAAGGAGCTGAAGATCGCCAAGTCGTTAGCACTGGTCCTCTTCCTCTTTGCCCTCAGCTGGCTCCCTCTGCACATCCTCAACTGCATCACCTTGTTCTGCCCATCGTGTGAGACACCCCACATCCTCACCTACATCGCCATCTTCCTCACCCACGGCAACTCAGCCATGAACCCCATCGTCTACGCCTTCAGGATCAAGAAGTTCCGGACAGCCTTCCTGCAGATCTGGAACCAGTATTTCTGCTGCAAGACCAACAAGAACGTCAGCACCACCACGGCCGAGCCGGGCAACTAGAGCTGGCAGAGAGCAGACAGGGGGCCCCCATGGCCAAGCCTGGTCCCTGCTGTCAGGGGAAGGGGTAGTGAGGACCTGGGAGGGCTGGATCCACCAGCCTTGTGTCCCCCAGCTGCCCAGGGGGTTATTTATTCACTGGTTTGATATCGTAGCCTGCACTGTTCCTCGCCTTTCTTTTTTGTTCTGTTTGTTTCTGTTTTTCAGGGGTTTTTTAACGGTTGCCAAGTATTTAAGGAGAAATTGTACAGACAAAGGCGCAGTTTATCTTCATGCAAATAAAGTAAGATGATCAAAACCACCCGGGAGGTCCTCTGCCATTGAGGGAGACCTCCGGCTCCCTGGAGCGCAGCAGTGGGTGATGCTGGGGGCATTGCATGCTCTGGGCCCCACATCCATGGGGCAAAAGGGTGCCTTGGTGGGAGTGGAGCTGCTGAGGACCAGAAGAGCCCAGGACAGGGTGATTTCTGCAGCTCTGACGCTGGGAGCTTTCAAGCCCTTTCTTTCCTATCCAGAAGCAGGGACAGGTGAGCTGGGCTGGGGGAAAGAGATAGGAGAAGGAATCCCATGGCAATACCAGCACCCACAGGGTGATGAACCCACCATCCCCACAGAGCAAAGGGTCAGTCTCCAACTCTAAATGCGACCAGAAAGGAAGGTAGAGGGGAAAGAACCAGAGTAGTCTGCAAGAAGTACCCTTTGGTGCCCATGGCCCCCAGCAGCACCCACAGCCCTGTGAGTTACACCCTGTGTCCACTCGTGTCTTCTTTTACTATGGCTCTGAGCCACTTTTCCCTCTTCAATCCTGCCTGTCTTCTGTGCAAGGCAACAGCAAGTCTCTCCCAGCCCTGTCTCATCTCTCCCACATTGCTCCCTACCACCCTCCCTGTGCTGCCAAACAACTTTGACCCACACTTTGTGGGTTATAGTTCAGGCACCTCCATGGTCCAGGGGAGCAGAGAGGCACCTGCGCCCGTGTGGGGGCAAGTAGGAGACAGCTACAGCCACAGGGTTGGTGTTGATGCTGCCACAGGGGCACTTTCCCACCTCCATGTGTCTGCCACAGGTTCAGCCATGGGCAGGGTGCACTGAGGAGCTCTGTGGTCCCTATGGGTGCTGGCAGCCCCACTGCCAGTCTTTGCTCTGCAGCAGGATCTCTGAATAGGTGATGGGAAGAGTTAATTTGAGTTAATTTGAACTCTTTTCTTATCAGCATCCCTTGTTCACCAGTCTCCCATTGGAAACACACTTCCTATGACCTTATCCCTGCCCAAGGAGGGTTGTGCCCCTCGGACGTCACCAAGTCACTGCAGCAAGTCCCTGCAGGGGCTGGGAGGGGGTGCAGAGAGGAAAAGGACCTCGATGGGTGAGATTTATGGGTGGCCTGTTGGCCAGCTCCAGAGAGCGATGCTGCACACACAGCACGGGCCGTGGGGCTGCCGGGTGCCCCCTGTGCCCCTGCTGCAGCCAGCTCTGCTCAGCCTGGAGGGAGTTCCTTCATCTCTCTGAGAGGAAGAGGAGGGCAGCAAAGAAGAGAGGAGATGAGGGGCTCAGCCTCCCACATTTTGCAAAGGCCTCAGTACATCATATCTAGGCTCCTGTCTCCAGAGCACACGGGGCAAAATGGGAGTGGGGCAGAAGAGCAACGGCAAAGACAGGAGCGAATGGGTCTTATCATGGTAGAGGTGCCCTGAACAGCCTCCCAGCCTCCTCGAGGTGAAGAACCCAAATCCTTTATCAGTAGTGTCCGAGGATGCTGCAAGGCCAGGCTATTGCAGGGAAGACCCCGTGCCCAATGGCCCTTTGCACAGCAGTAGCTTGGCCCTGGATTAGGGCTGCTGTTTAGCGAGCACAGGTCTGATTCCCCCTGGCATTTCTGCAAGAGGCTGATTTCCTGGAACCGATGCCTTTGCCTGGTTCTTGCTAAGGTGCCCAGAAACCTGACGACTGGGATGCTCATAAATTAAAAGGCAAGTGAATGATTGCTTTCAGAAATAAACACCAAGTGGTTTTTTCCACTCCGTGCTCTCTAGACCTTACCCAGGGAGGGCTCACTAAAAGTGGATGCTGTTACCCACCCTGGTCCCCTGTGGGGTTACAAACACAAGCCTTTGCCTCATAGAACTATATTAAGATTCTAGAAAGGGCAGAGTGTGCAGCTTGAGACAGTCTTTGAGATGCTGCTTCTCCCCTGTGTCAGTAAACCCATGTCTAACACAGCCTGCGCCCAGCTCCTGTTCTCCCAGGCTCCCACATGCCAAAACACCAGGGAGAACAAGGAGGCAAGGACACCCTCATCAGTGTCCATGGCTGGGTGTGCCAGGGCAAGACCTGCTCTGGTCCTGTCACTGGGTCTGCAACCTCCATCCACTCTGGTGGCATCATCGCTAACCCCAACCACCTCCATAAACGAGCATCAAACTTTCCCCCTGACCATCCGCAGGGGGAAAATTAATCCAACGATGCCCTCTGATGGTGGAAACCGTGTGTGGTGCACACAGTGCTGAGCCCCTTGGACCAGCAATACCCCCTTGGACTCCAGCTTGGGCACAGAGACGACAAAGATGGGGACAAAGCAGAGGGGCTGTAGGAGGAACCATCTATTTTAGCCACAGTCACTGCCTCGCTCTGCTCACCGGTGACACCAAGGGAGGGTTGAGCTCAGGTCTGAGGATGCCCGAGCTGGATTTGCACCCACATTTGCAGCACCAGGGCTTGCTGCGACCTGGCTGAGGGCAGGATCCATGTCTGGCTCCATGACTGAGCTGCCACATGGTTGGGAGAGCTCCTGTGTCACCCCCTGAGGGAGGTTGTGCTGGCGCAGGAGGTGGACCCCGCTCTGACCCCTCAGTAATGATGCGCTCACTCAAGTTGATGGATCTGTCTGGGCTGTCGGTGAATAAAGAGCGTCTGACCCGAGCTGTAAGTAACAACTCATCCTTCTGCACATGAGCGAGCAGCAGCTAACACATCGATTCCTCCTCCTCTTCCTCCTCCGGATAACACATCGCCATGTCCTGCTCCCACCGTCTCACACCATGGGGATGGGATGCTGGTGGCAGCACATGGCTGGATCGTTGGATCGCTGGTGTGGGTAAAGAAATTGTGCTTGGATGAAGAGACATCATCATGACACACTTTTGATGTTGCTATTTTTTCCCCCCTCCAGCCAGAATCATTCTCCAGTTCCAGAAGGAAACTTTTCCCCATCATGGCCCTCCTCCTTGTTGGGTTGCTTCTAGTTTAGAACTAGATCATCTTCTAACCATTCTATGATTCATATGCGTTTTATACAGCTGGTCCTTTCTTTCCAAGCTCAAATCCATCTCCTCCACCCATGGTTCAGTGGGATGCTATATGAGCCCATAGCATCCCTGGCAGCTCTTTTCCCCCTACCTCCCCTGTCCAAGCCAACCCCGCAACAAGCAGGACAGAGTGGTCTGGACTTCCTCATTAGGACCAAAGTCCCTCAGATGGGCTTGTTTTATTGTCACAGCTAAGGACACATTGAGAGAGGACCATGCCAGTGCAGGATCCCCCAGAGCACAGCCAGGGATGGGGCAGGCCAGCAGAGGCCATTGCCAGGAGCATCACCATGCACCACGCTACCACACAGCACCTCCAGCATCCACCTGGGGTAAAGGAACGGGATCCGAGTCCTGTGAAGGCACCACTGCCAAGAGACCAGTGGTCAGGGGTGAGATGGGAAACCACGTCCCAGCCCTGGCTCTAACACAAGACAAGCCCAGTTCTTCCCTTTAACTCTGCTTTTCCACCCTGTAGCCCCACTTCATACCTGTCCCCAGCCCCCGTACCCATCCTCATGTGAATCCACCCCTTGGTGCCCCAGCTCTCTGAGCCCTGCCTGCTACTCAGGGCTCTGCCTGCCTTGCTGCCCATGCGTCTCCCAGGCACACCAGTCTCCACATGCCTCTTCATCCCCCTGGCCACGTTTACAGCCCTCCATCCACCTTTCAAAGGAGCAGGTTTCTCCCAGGCTGTGCAGCATCCAACCCCACCAGTGCATCTCCAGCAATGGGGTGGAGCTGGAGGCTCCATTAGCAGGTGACAAGGGCTAATCCAGGACACTCAACCCCACTCCATCCCCAGTGAAGTGATCCACCCTCCCTCCACCCCATAGCCCCCACCCAGACCTACCTTGCTCTTCATCTTGCCCTCCAATCTGTCCTTACTGGGGCACTGCAGGAGAGCACAGGACATAGATATAAACACCCTGAATTCCCCTCATTTCACTCCCCTTTTGACATCCAAAAGTGAGCCAGGGCACTACCAACCCACTCCAACATGCACCTACACACGCATGCTCTGAGCAATCGCACACACCACTATCAATCATTGCCTGCTCCTGGCCAGTTTGTCCCCAGGATCCCAACCTGGGTGTCCCCAGCACAGTGACAAGCTCATCCTCCTGGCCAGCCTCACCATGCTGCCTGCATGGCTGCACTGGCAGACCTGCCTGGGAAGTAGGGCAGAGCGTGTCTTGGGGCAAGCATGTGCTGGGAAGCCACAGGAGGAGAAATAATAACAATGACATGTGTCTAAGGACACACCACCATGTGAAGAACACGTGTATAGTGGTGGGGATGCACCCTCCTGCGTGGTGAGCGCATAGAGAAGGCGTCTGCGGGGGGCAAAGCGGGGCACCTCCATGCAAGGGCTGTGCTGGGAACTCTGCTGAGGCAGGGAAATGTGAGCTGGAAAGTCTGGGTAGGATCCCGAGGCATAAATCAGAGCAACCCAGGTGCAAAGTGCAGGGGGTTCAGCACAGTCCCCTCGTGCATGGCTTGGGACACAAGTGCTGGTGGACACAGCAAGGAGCAAGAGACTGTCCCAGTCTCCACCAGCACCTCTGGTCCTTTGGCTCTGCAGTTTCTGGTTTCTTCCCCAACTTTTAGCCGTGCACGAGGGAAGGTGATTTCAAGATGCTTCAAGCCCAGAAACCCAAGAAGCTCAAAGCTCCAGCTCTACCGGGCTGCCCAGTGCCCTTAGGCTCCTCCATCACCAGGATCAACACGAAACAGGGACAAACGGCAGCACGGTGAAAGCAGGAAGAGGAAAAGACAGGCACGGAGAACTGCTCCTCTGTCTCCTCAGCCAATCTTACTTTTCACATCAAGTTTGCAGTCTACTGAGGCTTCCCCCAGGGCGTTTACAGCTTTGCAGGTGTAGATGCCCCCATCGAAGGGGCTGGGCTTGCGGATCTCCAGGGAGCAGACGCCCTGCTCGATCATCGCTATGTATTTGGGGTCTTCCCGTATCTCCATCTGATTTTTCATCCAGATGATTTTGGGCTGAAAGCAGCAGAATTTATTTGTTTCTTTAAAGCAGGGAGAGAAATGAGAAATCTACTGGCCCCAAAATGCAGCCACCTCCCTCTGCCTCGGCCCTGCCTGAAGCTGGTGGCCATGGTGGGATTCATAGTCAGAAGTAGTTTGAAGAGTTACGTATCCTATTCTTGAGCCCTAAAAACTGCCCCACGCTTCTTCCCCCAGGGCAGAAGGAAACAGGACACAGCTTGAATGAAGATCAGTCTCTCTTCTCTATGCAGAAACACCCCACATTTGCCCTAGTTTGACTTAGAGGGCAGCAGCAGCCCCCTAACTTCATCCAAATCCAACCCCAACACCGCCATCCGCCCTTCAAAACCCCCACTGGTGGCTGCCCCCATGCAGAGGTGATGCTGCCCCTGGAGGAACCACTGACCTGGGGGAAGCCCCGGACGCAGCAGATGAGATGTGTGTTGTAGCCCCGGGTGGTGATTCGGTCTGTCAGGGGCTGGGTGAACTTTGGAGGCTCCATCATGTCCCGTTGGGGGATCTTCTCTGGCTGGTAAGCAGTTTCTAAGAAAGGAATCAATTCTAGGTTGAGGCAGAGCTCCTGGGCTGACCAGCAGCACGTGGCCACGGAGATTCAGCCCAAGGCACACCAAAATACTTCTGCTCCCTCACATAAAGGCTGGAAATGGATCATCTTTAAGGTCCCTCCCAACCCAACCCATTCTGCGATGCCATGATAATAAGCCAGACAGCATCTAGCCTGACGCGGGGTCCCAGCCTTCAACTCAGCCCAACTCCTTCTCATCCAACCATGCCACGTTAGTGACCAATCCCTGCGGGGGCCAGGGGAGATGCCAGTCTGCAAACCAGCACCACGATAAGTGCAGTGTGTCAGATCCAGGCCAGGCACCACTCTAGATCTCCTACTCCACCCCCAAAATTCAATGTGCAGAAGCTAGAGGTAAGCTCTGCAGGTGGCAGAGACCCCAACACACTGTGTGCTATACCAGGGACCAGGGTGGAAAGGGACGGAGGGAGGGGAGGACTGAGGGGTGCTGGTTTGGACCCCTAAGCTGGGCCACCGCAGGGGTCTCTTCCTCTGCTGGTCCTGAGCTGCAGGTCCAAAGCCAGGGGTGTTCCTCACCCCTCCTGCTTCAGCCTCACCCAGGGATGTCCTTGATCCCTCCTACAGACTGACCACAGCACAAGCCTTCTCCAAAGCAGAAAGGAGGCATAGAAGGAGGGCAGGAGACCTCTGGGGCTGCCCAGACTCACCCCTTCAGCGCTCACCCTGGGCCCCAGCCCAGCAGCATCACCACAACACCAGGAAGCCCCTCCAGCCCCAACGAGGGACCGGACCCTTCTTGCCCACCACCACCTCCAAAGCCTTTAGCCAGAGCATTGTCCCTACTTGTCTTCTTGATGTCGGCCACCGCGGCGGTGACAGCCGCCTTCTCGCTCAGCCCGCAGGCGTTCTCAGCGAACACGCGGAAGCTGTAGGTGTTGCCGATGATGAGGTCGGAGATGGTGCAGCTCGTGCGGGTGCAGCGCTCCAGCGCCGTGAACCACTTCTGGGAGGGAGGAAGAGGAGTGGTGAGGGATGGAGAAGGCGTGGGGGGAGATGGGGGGTGCAGCCGTCAGAGCATCCCGAGTGCACAGACTCACCCCGCTCTTCTTGTCCGATTTCTGCACTATGTAGCCCTTGATCTCAGAGTTCCCGTTGTCCACTGGAGGGGCCCACTCCAGGGCCACATTAAAGCCCCACACATCCACCAGCTTCAGGTTCTGGGGGGGCCCCGGCAGCTCTGCAAACACAAACCCTCATAGGGTGGCATCCCAGTTTGCTCCCCCCACATTCTGTGCCTTGACCATCCCTTGCACCTCACTTTTAATCTCTTCTCACCCAGTTGCAGCAGAATAAGGAGAAGCTGCAATGGACGTGAGCTGGCAGAAACCCTGCATCCCCAAGCAGAGGAGTTCACCTCCATGACTATCTTCCAATATCTGAAGGGGGCCTACAAGGCTGCCGGAGAGGGGCTCTTCATTAGGGGGTGTAGTGATAGGACAAGGGGAAATGGGTTCAAACTTTAACAGGGGAAGTTCAGGATAGATATAAGGAAGAAGTTCTTTACTGTGAGGGTGGTGAGGCACTGAACAGGTTGCCCAAAGAAGTGGAAGATGCTCCATCCCTGGCAGTGTTCAAGGCCACGTTGGATGGAACATGTCTTGGGTGACATGGTCTAGTGCAAGGTGTCCCTGCCCATGGTGGCGGGGTTGGAACTAGGTCATCTTAAGGTCCTTTCAACCCTAACTATTCTATCCCACTGGAAAAGGGCCCCCAAAGTCCGTTGTCTTGTTGCTGGCCCTGCCCCATCCCACCCAGAACAAGAACTATCCCCCAACCAAGGGGCAAAAAAAGCCCCCGCAGGGCCCCATCCCCAGCCTCACCAATCACTCGGATGTCCAGGGTGGCCTTGTCCTCCGCTCCGTTTATCCTCACGGTGAGCTCGTACTTGCCCGAGTCGCCGCGCTGCGCCTCGCGGATGTAGAAGATGGTGTCTCTGTGTGTTGCGTATGACGACGCGGCTGCTGTCCAGGGGCTGGCCACCCTTGGTCCAGAGCACCTCGGGCTGCGGCTTTCCCTGGAGCAACCCGCATAGGCTGGTTAGGAGCCACGCGAGCACATGGTTCCAACGGGTCCTGCTGGGAAGGACGGGTGGGCAGAGCCTCCCCGCTTTGTCCAGGCAGCGGTGGCCTGGATTTGGCCTCTCCCAGCCAGCAGTCCCCACAGAAGAAGCCGCAGCTGATCCCTGCCAGCCCCACTGATGGGAAGCCATCAAAGGCTCCAGAGATGATGCTGGAATATGCTGGTCTCCCAAGGTCCTCACAGAGCAAGTGCAGCTTTACTTGCCCAGGGCATGGCAGGCAGAGCTGGGCTCCTGATTCTCAGGCACTGAGCCCAAGTTCAGTTCAGTTCTACCCCAGGCAATTCAAACCTAGCAGGAGTGGCTTCAATTCAGCAGCCCGGGACAACTCACACCTGGAGCATGGCCAGTGCAGGCTCCCAGCTGCCTATGAAACATGGCATGGACATAGCCCTCATCTCAGGGGCAGCTTTTTGCCTCATCTCCCCCTGCTTGGCCAGCATGTTCCAGCAGGAGAGAAACAGGAGCCAAGCAGGAACGGGATAAAGGTCCCCCCTCCATCTCCCACCCTTGGCCAATAAGGCATGGGAACCAGGACAAGCCAGCCCACAGCTGGCCCCAAGCATGTCGTAGCGGCTATAAAAGTCACTGCAGAAGCCAGCCTGCAGTGGAAAAGCCTGGGGCATTAAATCCCAAACTGTCCACCTACCTGGAAAGGGATCATCATGTTCACAGCATCCCCAACGTGCCTGACGTAGGTCTCCCGCAGGTGACGGGGCATGCGGATCTTTGGGAGCTCTGGGGACAAGAGAGTCATGTTGTGGGGCCAGGAAAATCACAGCCCCCAACTGGCTGACCCACCCCACACATCCCCCTGCTTGGCCATCAAGAAATCCCACCCAGAAACACAGCCACATCTTCCTTCTCATCTCCTGGATGGTGCCTGCTTCCCTGCAGGGCCATGCCAGCCTGCACCTCAGAGCTACAACCATCCCTGAGATACCAGGTCACCAACCCAATGGCATCACCCCAATGGACCATTCACCTTCTTCTCCATAGCCAAGCCACGGAGACCAACATGGGCTTCAGCAGAAGAGCCCCAGCAGAGCCTATGGGCAGAGGGCAGCATCTCCCAGTTAGGAAATATTTGTCCTTCAGCTCAGAAAGCACTTTTCAGGGGCTGAGAACCCAGCTTCCAGCAAGGACAAGGCTTTCCCAGGCCTCCACCTTCACTGTGTGCTCACGGCCATTGAGAGACCAAGGTGGCGTGTGGGTATTCACAGCAAAGCTGTGAAAGCCCCAGGCTTAAAACGCAGGCTGACATCCCCAAGGGAACATAACAAAGAGAAGCAAGAAACCCACTGGGGAATGCTGATGGAGCGTGTGTCTCCTTCCCGGGGTGAAAATAGCAGCCGTGTAACCCTACCGGCTCAGCGCCACCGGCTGAGCCAACGGAGAGGCATTGGCTTTACGTGAGCCCCTCATAAAAGAGCTGTGTGTCTGTGCTGGGATTAAACGTGCTGGAGCTCAGCTCTGGGGAGGGGGCACGGCCAGAATTAAACCAGGGCTGAGCAATGGCTCAACAGCTGGGGAGCGGCGGCGGTGGGATGGGGACATGCCCAGCGGTCCCAGATGGCCCCACCGACAGCTGAGACGGACCCTCCTCTGCTCTCGCTGCTATTCACTGCAGGGATCCACGCATTGGTGCTGCCACTTGGGCTCATCTGTCTCAGCGGGGCCGAGAAACCCAACCTCGAGCGGAGGAATGTTAATTCATGGGTGTTTGCTCCTGCTGAGGGGGCTGCCCGAGGTCGGTGGCCGGGGCGATGCGCTGCCGAGGGTGGGAAGGCACCATTCCTGCCCCAGCTCCCTGAAGAACGCGACTCCCACAATGACTCTTCACCTGCCTCACTCCACTTCCCAAACCCACTCATCCCACTTGGTTTGAAACTCTCTGCTGCCTGGATCGCCGCTGTTTAAAATCCCTTGTGATACTATAAATGAACCAGGGAGAGGTGCAATGTGCAGTCCCGAACAACATGTGATGAGCAGAAGGGACACAGAGGAGAAGACTCATGCACCCAACACACCAGTGCAGCCGGGGTGGACACGGGGAGGCAGAGGGACATTGAGGGCTATTTCGTTCCTCAGCAAAGCCAGGCAGTGAGCACAGGTCTGTGCTGCAAGTGAAACGCAAGAGCAGACCATGCTGTTTGCTGATGAAGAGTATGAGCTGGCAAAAAGCAAAGAGAGAAGAAGCAACCCCACTAGCAAGGAGCAAGTTGAGGGGGGGGTCCTTTGGGTTTTACACCTCTCAGCCAGTGCATGTGGCTGGGACACAGCTTAGGCAGCAAGAACTGATGGGTGCAGCGCAGGACTAGAAGTGGGAACATGAGTGGTGTACTTGGCATCTCATGCCAGTCCCCCACAGCTCAGTCTCCCCAAACTTCAAGGTATGGTGGGATGCCTGTGAGATCTGGAGGTGAACACAGCAGCAGATACCAACCACCAACCCATGGTCACCTCCTCCAGCAGGCTGAGAGGATGGACCCTGCAGAACCCTTTCCAGATGCTGATAATCTTCTCCAGGCCTTTTCCTAGAAAAAGCTGATGGTTCCTAGAATAACTTTTGTTCTTGTTACTGCCAGTTTTAAGCAGCTGAAAAATCTTTGAGCAGGAAAACTTGTGCATTAATAATTCCTTTTAAGAGGAAAATAAGTCAGCGCTTGCTGTCTGATAACTGAAAACCAGCCTTGAAATCATGGCTCAGCACATTGGCAGCACCCCGGGAGGAATGTGAGTCTTGCCAAGCATGGGAGCAAGTCATTCATTAGCGAGTTCAGCGCTATTCAAGTTCCCATGCTCCAGACCACCAGCTCCTGGCTTTCCTTTGCCAAACAAAGCTGTGCAACGTGTGTGTGATGGAGTAGTGGAGACGTGAACACGGCCAAGGAGAGATGTGCTGAAAGTCAAACTGCCTCTGAGCTCCTGCACTGAAATGGGAAGATGTGGCTTGGCATTTTGAGCCCTTCACCCCCAAAGCTTTGCCATCTGCAAGATCAATGTCTTGAGGTCAGGAACCTCCTCCATCCCACCCCAAGGGAATTGGACACAGCTATTGAGAAGAACATCTTGGTCAAAGGTTGGGTTGCAACATGTGAAAGGGCAGAGGCTGCTCAGGCTGAGGGATGGACCAAGTGCTGGGTTCATCTCTGGGGCCCCCAACACCAGAGGGTCGTGGAGCTGTTGGAATGAGTCCAGCGGAGGCCCCGGAGCTGCTGCGAGGGCTGGAGCAGCTCTGCTCTGGAGCCAGGCTGAGAGAGCTGGGCTGGGGCAGCTGGAGAAGAGAAGGCTCCTGAAGGGGACACCTTAGAGCAGCTCCAGTGCCTAAAGGGGCTCCAGGAGACCTGGAGAGGGGCTTTGGACAAGGGCCTGTAGGGCCAGGACAAGGGGAATGGCTTGAACCTGCCAGAGGGGAGATTGAGATGAGCTCTGAGGCAGAAGCTCTTCCCTGTGAGGGTGCTGAGGCGCTGGCCCAGGGTGCCCAGAGAAGCTGTGGCTGCCCCATCCCTGGCAGTGTTCAAGGCCAGGTTGGACACAGGGGCTTGGAGCAACCTGCTCTAGTGGAAGGTGTCCCTGCCCGGGGCAGGGGTTGGAGCTGGAGGATCTCTAAGGTCCCTGTCTGTACTGCTGACAAAGCACACTGGAATTACGCAGGGCAGGAGCAGTACTCACGGAGGATCTCTCTGATGAGCACAGGCTGCTCCAGGGTAGCCGGGACACTGGCACCGCAGGCACTGACAGCCTTCACCCGTACATGGATCTTGTCACCGGAGCCAAGGTCCTGGACCGTGTAGCGGGTGGAAAGAAAAGGCTCCTCGTTCACAGCTGTCCAGTCCGCACCTACGATGAAGCCAGCAGAGCACTTCAGGCGCACAATGACAGACAGACACTCACCCTGGGCAGCAGGATCAAGCCACAGCGGGTGAAACCCAGAGGAGAAGAACCCGTTCCCTGCGCAGGCTGAATGGTTTATCTCAGGGAGGAGGTTGGCCACCCCACCCCACCAAGGAGCACAGGGTAGGAATTGCTGGCAGAAGCTCAGCTGTTGAGTAGGAAGCTACTTGCAAGTAAGAAAAGGCATTAGGCCAGCACAAATGGTCCCTGCTGGCCTTCCAGGTCCATTACTGGAGGTGAGGATGCGTTGACCACCCTGCCACAGCCTCTCAGTGACCCAGGATAAATCACTGCAGCTCACCACGTTCCCCAGCTCGTCCTCCACCCTGGGCAAGGTGCTTATCATTGCCACCAGCCAGCTACATCTCTCCAACTGTCCTTGCTGCTTTGAAGGGGCATCTCACACTCACCCCACAGCCAAGAGGTGGAACCCTTCCACTCCAGCCATCTAACACGGCCTTGCAAAGTGCCAACCCTCTTAGGAGGTTTCTCAGGTAGAAAACAGGCTGCCCCAGTCACTAAAGGACTGGGTGTCCCAGGCGGGCAACTAAAGCGACCCATGTGTGCCAGGGTGTGCTAAGCCACCGTGTGCACCTTCAGACCAAGAGGGTTACCTGTCATTCTTTCCCTTCACCCAAACCAGCCCTCACTCAAATCTCACCATATTTTAGCCAACCAGGGTCTTGCACCAGCCCAAATACAACATTCCTGGAGCCCATGTGGTTATCACCGAATGACTAGAGCTCTCCTGTCACCAGCCAAGCCCAAAGCAAGCTAAGAGAACATCCAAAACTGTGATGTTTGGGTGGCTGTCAGCCAGCACCCTCCAGGAATGGCTGCATCTCTCCATGTTCCATGCAAGGGCCTCCTCACACAACCCATCCAGCCATGATTACCTCCCCCAGCCCAGTGATGGAGGCCTCCCACAGCTGAGCAAGTGTGGATCGTGCCTGCCACAGGCTAAACACCAAGGGTCACACATCAAGTTCCCCCAGGCTCATGGACCACTTTGGTCTCCCAAACCACTCAGCCTCATGCAGCACCCAGCCACCAGGTCATGTGGTGGCTCCCCTTGCAGACCCCCCCCACCCATACAGGTTGGTTGTTCACTCTCACCCCAAAGCCAAGCAGGGCTTCAAGAGAGTGCCCAAAACTCAAGTCTAATCCACGTCCCCCATTCCACAAACCAGCAGTGCAAGCAGAGAACCACAGATGACCACCACCAACCCAACCCCCATCCACCACAGACGTCCTCCTTCCAGGCATCTCCAGCCTGGAAGGGGCTGGGCTTGCTTGCTCATGCACACCAGCCCCTCGTACACTCCCCAGGATCTTTTTGTCCCCCATCCTTCCACCTTATCCCCATTCCTTTTGCACTTCATTTTGGGCAAACGTGGGAGAAACCATCCAAACCCCAGGTCCCTGCAGAGCTGGGGTTACCAGACACCATCCTCAGCAGGTTTGCTGATCTCCTCCACCCTCCACTGGAGATAGTGGTGACATTAAACCCAGCCCATCCCCCTGATAAAGACACCAACACCACCTGAAGCCAATGGGAACCCCCTCTCCTCCATGGGGAAAACCCCCCAGAAGACCATTTAGAATGTACCCATTTGGGCAAACAAAGGGAACGGGTGGGCAGGAAGACCCTGCCGGGTGCTGCCCCGCTCCATCCCGTCTGCGGCCACACAGCAGGAAAATGCCCAGCTCCATCCCGTCTGCGGCAACACAGCAGGAAAACCCAAACCTACTTCCATCTTTGCAGATCTCCACCACGTATCCATCCAGGTGTGACCGGCCTGTCTCCTCCGGGGCTTTCCAGGTCAGCGTAATGGAGTTTTCACTCACTTCTTCCACAGCCAAGGCCAAGGGGGAGCTGGGCGGCGCTGGAACCAACCCACAGTGGGGTGAGGACACGCTCACAAGTACCAGGGTTGGTGGAGGGCAACCACCCAACTCCATGCTGGTTTTCAACCCCCCACTGCAAAAATACCCCTGATGGCTTCACCCCCCCACCCCTTCCCTCCAGCAGCCCCACACGTCCCCTCCAAGCATTCCTCCCCAAAGCTCCAGTGCCTGGTCCCATCCTCACCTCCCTTTGACTTCTGAGGCTCAGATTCAGGGGCTTGGGGTTCAGCTGGAGCACTCGGGGAACCTTCTCCAGGGGCTGG